ATACCCGGTCTCCCCTACTTTATTCTTTTGTTTAAATTAAAATCTTAAATTTTCTGTTTTCAACCTGCAGGAATTTGTTCCTGAAGTTTGTTCTCTTTCTGTAGAAAAATGTAACAATGACCAACAAATGGTTTATTATACAAATAACATCATGTTGTAGTCATGTTATACCTACAAGACTGCTGAGTTCTTATTGGTAAACTACACAAGTTGGTTGGTTGGTGACAAAGTGCTGTATTCAAGAATATTATTGGAAAGTTTGGTGCAGGGACAAAGTATGGTAAAGACGAGTATTAACCTTGTGTTATGAGTGCACACTGTTCAGTGCATAGACATAGTTTCAATAGTAATTTTTTTTTAAGAAAAAAAAAAATGGTTCCCCTTTTGGAGCGCTTATAAAAGAGACACATCCAACATCTGATACAATCACACCAACACAGCTCACACATCGTCTCTTAAAGTGACTGAAGGTAAGAAGAGCTTCACTTCGGTCAGATACAACACAAACTGCTGAGGATCAAATGTGAGTATTGCAAACATTGACCCTACTGTATATTACTATACTATTATTATAAACAAAACTAATTCTAACTATGATAAATTCAATTTACTTAACAGTTGGATTGTTTTTTTTTAATCTAAAATAAAAACATATTTTGATTTATTTAGATGCCTTTTTGGATCCTAAGGGAAAATTTGGAAGAATTTAGGATTTTTGTGGATCAGATACCAGGGCAAGTTAGGGAGAAACTCCCAAACCCTGTTTACTTTCAAGGTTGGCTTCTGGTTTTGGTTTTATTTTTTAGCTTTGTCTCTCTCGACCGGAGGGGTCATCAGCTTTTGACACAGTTAATGCCCGCCCATGGAGACAGGCAGTAACTGGATGTTCAGCAGTTCTTTTTGTTACTGCTCATAATTATAAGTAATTCCAAGGAATGATTTTGAATATTTTAGTCAACTCTGCGTTAAACTGAATAGGTTAAGTAGTAAAACACAAAACAATGCTATCTACCACTGTTTTTGTTGCTAACTGCCCATGCAATTATAGAAAAAAAGCTGCACCTGTGCGTTCTTCACACCTGCAGAATACGTCACACCGCCACAGGACGTGTTGCTGAAAAGTTGCTGAAACTAAAAGAAAATCACATAATGAAAATGTCAAAATATAAATTTACAACCTTAACCCATTTAGGCTGTTGATTTGGGGGTTAGTTACACAGTTCAACGTTCAAAGTACAACTTTACAGCTACAAATAAATTATGAATTTGTGTAAATGTCTTTGCAGGTGATCACCATTGAATGATAAACCTGCAGTTATGGCCACCAAAGGAAGTTTGTCTTCACTCTTGATTCTGAGACTTCTTTTGCTTCTGCTTCATTTTAACCCTTCTCTGCTTTATTCTCTAAAGAACTGCACTATCCTTTACCAGGAGAATCCATCTGATCATGTTTATGTGGATTGCTCACAGAGGAACCTTTTAGCTATTCCTGATGACATCCCTAAAGATGCAGTTTCATTACTGTTTTGCAGAAATCATGTTCTAAAACTTAAACAAGATGATTTTCGTGGTTTGTTCAAACTGAGGATTCTTGAACTAGAGTTAAATAAAATTTATCATGTGGAAAATGAATCATTTCTTGATTTGGCTTTTTTAAAGACTCTCAACATGAGATTGAACGAACTTACCAGTATAACAGCCAATATGTTTCAAGGACTATCTAATCTTACCCAGCTTGACCTCAGTTTTAACAGCATCCAGTGTATTCATAAAACTGCATTCAATTTCCTTGTCAGCTTGCAAACTGTAGAGATAAGTGGAAATAAATTCCAACAAATCACTGAAATCCAACCCATCCTCCATGTACCACAGATACAGAAACTTAAACTGTTAGACAATTCATTTCCTTCCTTTGAGACAAAAGACCTGCAGCTTAATTTCTCATCAAGTCTTAAAGAGTTGCATGTTTCTGGGCGTAACATGCAAATGTTTAGCATCACAACTCCAATTTTTCCTCACCTCCAACTTATAGAACTTTTACGCCCATTGCAGTTGTCTAAAATGATATGGTACATATCGGACAAACATTTTCTGAGAAACATAACACATTTATATCTTGGTTGGAGAGTACTTCTCTTTAAAAATATCAAGACAGTAATGAAGAGTCTCAACTCTCTATCATATCTGAGCTTAGACGCAACAAGCAGGTGGATAGAGAGAGGGCTATTGTCTACAGTTTGCAACATACCAACATTGAGGAGTCTGAATTTGATGTGCAGTGATCTTCAGAATTTAACTTTTGAACTTGCATCATGCTCTCAGCTCATAGAGCTTGATTTGTCCTTCGGTCAAATGGCTGAACTGCGAAAAGGTTCAATACAATCAATCAACCGACTACAGACGCTGAATGTGACTAACAACCGACTCACTATAGTTCCATATGATATAAGAAACCTTACCTTCCTCGAGGTCTTAAATATGCAAAACAACACAATCCTCACGTTGAGCTGTGAGGATTTTGTGAACACAACAAGTCTTAGAGAGCTATACCTCACTGGAAATCGTATAACTGACATCAAAAGTTGTGTGATTGAAAAACTTCCTAATCTCACAGTTTTGGATTTGAGCTATAATCTAATAATGACATTTGGAGACTCCTTTGAGATTCCCCTACATAAGCTTGAGATCTTGGATGTAATCCAGAACCCCATAAAAACGCTAGACGTAAAGAAATTTCAACAACTACAGTCACTAAAAGTGTTAAATGTGGAAACACAGCTTTTAAATAATTTATATGTCTGCAATGACTTACAGCTCTTGGACCATCTAACAATATATTTACGCCCTCGAGAAAACTTTAAAACCTCTGTTTCAAACTATTCTGAAATACACGTTAACTCACACTCACTGAAAAGTCTCACATTGATTGCCAAAGACCAACCCACTGACTTTGATTCAGTAAAAAAGTTTCTTATGACTGTTAAACCTGCTGAAAAGTTTACAGCTATAAACATCTATGGAGACCCTCCTGATGGAAGAACATTTAAGCTTACTCCTGAGCTCAAGAGTCTAACTTTAACAAAAACTGATCTTTTGATTGTAAAACATAAAATGTTCCTACCAATCCCACACCTGCAGTCTCTGGATCTTTCTGAGTCTGAGATCAAGTCATTGGATTTTCTGATGCTGGCCAATCTTTCTGCTCTCCGATATCTGAAATTGACAGACAGTGACCTTTCTGTGGTCAATGAGACTGTCTTCCAGTATCTCCCATCTCTAACATATTTGGATCTGAGTAATAATCCGTTTACCTGTGAGTGCTTAAACGCAGGTTTTATCCAGTGGGTGAAGAGCAACAAGCAAACACAGGTATTCAATGGTCATCAGTATGAATGTTCCTTTCCGGTGCCTAAACGGGGTACCTTATTACTAGACTTTGATGTTAAGACCTGTTGGGAAGATGGCAGCTTTCTTTACTTCATTTCTAGCACTTGTCTGGTTGTTCTAACTCTTCTTACATCATTCGTCTATAACTTCCTGAGATGGCATCTCAAATACACCTTCCACCTCTTCCAAGCCTTTCTCTACGACAGCAGGAAGAGAAAGACCATGAACCCTCATCAGTTTGATGCCTTCGTGTCCTATAACGTCCACGATGAGGGCTGGGTTTACAGGGAAATGCTCCCAGTGTTGGAGGGACAGCAGGGCTGGAGACTGTGTCTGCACCACAGAGACTTCCAACCAGGTAAATAAAGTATTTTAACTCTTTATTTTTACAATGATACTGTTGAATGACTGAGATGTAGAGGATTGAGAAATGTTGGTGACTTTGTAAACTTTAAAAAACATTAATGTTCTATTATGGGGACATATTACGAAAAATTCACATTTTTCTTCTTCCATTTGGATCTCTACTGCTTTTAAAAACCTCCTAGCTCAGTTTCAGCTGTAAGTCAATGTTTTTTAGTGTGTGGAAAATTACCCATTTCAAAACTCTGCGGAATGTAACATCAGAAATCAGCAGGCTCTGGCCTTCACCTAGTGACCCCAGAGAAGTCCAACCCGTTACCTAGCAACCCCAGGGAAAGCCCAGCCCGTCTCCTAGCAACGCAATCTGAGTTCCGATCATGTGCTGTACATTGTACGCTGGAAAAGACAAGTGAAATGTTGTTTGGTTTTGTTTTTCTAACTATTCAGAAAGCATTTCATGGATTCTTGTTGGTTGTGTGCTTAACTCTTCTGCTTTTCAAATATATATGGTAGTAAGTATTTGGCCAGCAGCAGCTTATTTGGATTTAAAATGTCAAGAGGCCCTGAAACAGATAAAAGAGGCTCAAAATAGGCAGAACTGATCAGACTAAATTCTCATTATTTAGGAATGATTCTGTGCAAAAAATGTAATGAACATGTTTTGTACAGTCTTTACGATGTACAGTCTTATCCTAGCCTGTTGAAGGAAGAATAGTAGGTCACATTTATTAAAACTCCTTAAAATAATTACTGAAATGTCAAAATGTATCTGAGAATGAAGAATAACCCATTATTATATGCTAATTTATTTGCTTTATTTCAAATAACCATTGAACAGGTCATACTTTGCAGTGTTTTTTTTCTTTGGGAAATCACCCAGGGTGATTCTGACAATAAATTTGATGAAGCTACATTTTTAGACAGAAGTTGAACTGGAGGCTTTACTATAACGTAGGCAAGGTCTTTTTGAGATACGGCTGAAAATACATCTGTTATATCCACAGGTAAACCCATCATAGAGAACATCACTGATGCCATTTACGGCAGCAGGAAAACCATCTGTGTGATCAGCCGCAGCTACCTGCAGAGCGAATGGTGCTCCAGAGAGATCCAGATGGCCAGGTGGGGGCGCTATTCTTGAACTTGATGCTTTTTAAATGGAGAAATGAAATGTATGTAAATGTATGCTTCGTGAAGATTTATGTTTACAACATCTATGCATCATTTGAGGTTAAAGGGTGGAAAGTGTGCTTCTTGTTTGACTAGTGCTAAACTAATCTCTGTACTTTTTTGGTGTTAGCTTTGTAGTTTTAATAGATTCTCAACTATTTGGATGTTTATATTTAGCGTTCTCCTTCTCATGCAAGTTCATTCATCATACAATGCAACAAGCACCACTAATGATTGTTTCCAATGTAATTTCACCAAAAAGAAGTGCATTTTTAACCCAAATTAATATAACATTAGTGATTATTTGCAACAGATCTGACAAAATCAGGTCTGTTCAGTTTCACTTTCTGTTACACATTTATGAACAGCGTCAGGAAAATATCTGATAAGTTTTCTTTGACATCTTGCAGCTTTCGTCTATTCGACGAACAGAAAGATGTTCTAATTCTGCTGTTTTTGGAGGAGATTCCTGCTCGTCATCTGTCTCCATATTACCGCATGAGGAAGCTGGTGAAGAAACGCACCTACCTGAGCTGGCCTCAGGCTGCAGAACATCCAGGAGTTTTCTGGCAGAACGTCCAGAGAGCACTGCAGACAGGGGACTCAGAAAACACGGACCTGCTGATCGGACCAGCAGGATGGTGAGAGAGAGCTGCAAGGTACAACTTCTCCCTGTCAGTAGAGCCTACTGTGAATCCTAAGGCGAATGAACATATTATTTGTAACGGAGAGTTGTTTCTCTGGTATTATGCATACCAGAGAAGTTCACAAGGTTGATTGGCAGCGCTAAGACACTCCTCCTGGCTCTGATTGGTTGTTTTTGACCAGGAGTCGTTCATTTTTTCAGACAAATCAGGGAAAAGGTGGAGGAGCGCAATGTTTTCACTAATTATCTGTCTCATAAACTGTCATGGTGACCGTTCTAACAAATATGCAAAAGAAAACATATTTATTTATAACACTTGTGTGCTACAGGTTTAATGTATTTTTAAGATATGGACCTTTCAGTGAAAATGTATCTGGTCCAAATCTATGGCTTCAAAAATGTTCCTCGAATTAAAAGATTTAAAAACTACAAAAAATTAAAAAATCAACATCTATTAATTTATCCTCTCTATTTTGCTCCTTTGACTTCAGGCTTCAAGCTGCTCCTCCAATCCAGTCATGAAAACTACAAGTCATGAAAACTACAAGGCATCAGATGCTAGAAGAAATATAAAACCCTCCCAGAAAGTTCTTGATCTCTTCCTTGAACATCACTCAATGAAGACTCTACAAATCCCCACCTTTAACCTCCTGAAGATGCACCAATAAGAGCTTTTTGCTAATCAGTATTATAACCTTTGACATGTTATTACCTTCTTGCCAGTTTTTTCTTAAAGGAGAAGATGGTATTATGTAAAAATGGCTTTTTGAGCTTTATGTCGTCCAATAATCTATTTCCTTTTAAAAAACATGCCAGGAGTGTTGTTTTGACTATTTCATGCATGCTTGAGAAATCCTTTAAACTCCAGTAGCCTCCATTTAGGCGCTTGGTCTCACAAAGCTCAGCCTTTTTAATCCAAACTCCACCCATTTCCAAAAAGGTCCTTCTTTCTCCCTCTCAGTTCCTCCAGACTAGCGGCAGCAGCAATTAGCAACGATTGTAAACGGCATAATGAAGTACCATTGTTGTAAAGAAGATGATGACGTGCTGGAAAGAGCAGAAGCTTCTTAAAGAGAGAGAGGCCAATTTCAATACATAAAATTGCAAAGTCAAATTTCTGTTAAGTCATGTTTGATATACAGCATATTTATACCAACTGAAGGTAACAGTTACTTTATTATGCTGTAAAAATTGCCCCATATGCCATTATGAGATTTTTTTTTATCTGGGCAAAGATGAGTCCATTAATGCTATGCCTTCATGTTATTCTGAGAGGAACTGAAAACAATCGGTGTTGCTGATCTTGTGACTCAGTTTCTCAGAGACGATTAGGAACGCTAACGATATGCAGCCACAGGAAATGGCTGCATATCAGGAGGCAAAAGTCAGATTTTAGACTGGTATGACAAAAGCCATACCAGTTTGTCACATAAATATCGTCACACCTACCTCATCAACCTCATGTTCCCTTTTTCAATGCAAAATGGATTCCTATTTAGGGCTTAGGTGCTGTGAGTTCTGCTTCTGTTTTTAGATGTTTGCACCACTGTGAAACTTTAGACATAAAGAGCTCGTCTGTAAACCAATAAAAGTTGCTTACTCTAAAGGCAATAACCTTTTTTCTTATACATTATCCTACCACATCTTGTGGTTTTTAAAAAATTGTTCTGTAAATATTTATTTCTTTTTAGTTTTATTGGTCTCATCTTTTTAAGCACCTCAGAAGACCTTAATGCTACTTATAGTTTACTTGCCTTATTTGCATCATATCTTCAGTGAAAACAGTTTGTTCTGTGTTTTAATAATTAAACTTCCTTTCATGTTTAGTATTAATTTGATCATAGATTAAATACACAACCTACACGGACATCTGGATGGAGGTCGTCAGGAACCAGGCTAGTCTTTCTCGACGCCAGCTTAATCAGAGTTTACTTCACTTCTGGACATGTTAAATCTCGGCAGATTTAGGAAACTCAATTCACCCGTCAGACGGAGAGCTGGTAGCACATCTCCCTCCTCTGACAAGGGGAAGCAGAGGGAGAGAAGGGGGGGATGGGGATTGTGCAACAACTTCTGTGTGAAACAAAAGATAAATGATTTGATTTGATTTATACCAGATGAAACACGGAGAAGCATATTCTGCCAGTAGCCCATGAAAATCACATAATATACAGTAATTAAGTGCATAATGAAAAAAGAAAACCAGCTTTAAAAAATGAAAAAAGTTATTTTGTAGACTCATCAAAAAGTCTTGCTTAAGTTAGCTAAGTAAATGTTTTTTTCAAAGCTTTGTTTTAGATTTAACTATTTTTTCTGCCTATAGATCTACTATAAAATAAATAAATAAAATGTGATTATTCCAGCAGGTTCCACAGGATTTGTTTTGGTCTCTGCTTATACCAGGATGTTCTCATTATGTAAATTTAATCAAGATGAAAATTAGACGTAATTACATTAAACTGATGTCATGATCCATGGATTGAGAGTTTGGATGAACACAAACATGACCAGCAGAGGGCGCTGGAGTTCACAGAAACACAGAGCAGTACTGACATAATATTTCACAATGTTTGAAATATTCAGCAAAGGCTTTTTGAATTTAAAAAACAGATATCTGAAAGAGAGAGCTGAATCTGTCAATGTTGTTTTGGTTATCAAGAAACAACTTAAATAAAAAATATTGAATTAAATAATGATTTCAGGCTTATCTTACATTTCTTAAAACTCTTAATGCTCAAAGTTCAGCACTTAAACATTTAATTCACATTCAAGTACTGAGTAACTGATCATATATTCTGATTTAATATCCTGAATCAGAATATTTAATATTTTAAAATGAAACAGAATTAATTCAAATTTAATTATAATTTCTCTTATTTTAGGGTTTCTTTTTGTTGGGGGAAAGTTATATAGGTTTTAATATTTTAAAGCTATAAGATAACTTTATGGCATATAAAGTTAATATATCATAGCATTAAATGCTCAAACATAAATTTATGAGCAAATTCTGGTATCTTGAAGACTAAGACAAAAATATATATTTATATACATAAATAAAACATAAATTCAAGCAGATGAAACACTTTTTAAAAACTTTTTTTTCTACTATGAGACTTGTGAATCTAATACATAAAATGGGTTTTAGTTTTAACAAAATAAAGTGCTTCCATTGACAATATGAGGTATTTAAATATTCACTTGATCTCCAAATGGCACAAAAGACAGAAATGAACATTAGAACAACAAACCATGTGCACAAACAATAAGTTTCACTTAATGTAAATGTATGTTTTACATTGAGTGGGACCTAATGTAAGGCATACATTAGATTTTTACATTTAGTAAGATACTTAATGTGCATTTATGTTTAAAATATATTTGTTTTTCATTCAGCATAGTTACTTCCAATAGGTATCCAGAATTTTACTCAAGAGAAGTGATTCATTTTAGGTAAAAGTAAAAATTACGTTGAAGTAAAACTACATCTAGAAGTACACTTTCCCCTAAACGTTAGTAAAATAAATGCATTAAAGTCTGAAAGCTAAGGGTATTTAGCATGGCGTATAAATCGTTTCCCCGTAACGGTGAGTTTCTTCTTGGCTATTAATACTTTTAGCAGCGTACATGAGATTGATTGACAGCGCTAAGACCCTCCCCCGACTCTGACTAGTTGTTTTTGACCAGGCATTTCTTCAGACAGCAATAGCAGCACAGATTATCTGCATCTATTTTTTTAAATAAAAGTTTCATGCTGAATCTTTAAAACTATCTGTAGTGACCAAACTATAAATGGTGCATGTCGCTCATATGTGATCCTTACTTCTTAATGTTTCTACTTATCCTTCGCTGAGGAGGTTCGGCATCTGAGACGTTTATCTGAAACCTTTGTTGTTCGACACCAGTTGGTGAAAAGGGTTTCTTTTACTCTCCATGTTGCGTCGGGGCAAAAGAGGCATGCCATTTGCCGTATGGCGAACAGGAGGGGAATCAGGTCTGGTGTTGGCAGGATGCAGGCCTTTGGGAAGAAGCATGCAGGGATGGAAACAAGGCAGGTGGGAGAACAGTGAGCTACTTTAGGCTCATGAACTACAGAGGCTTTGATTCCCTTTAATGCCTGGAAAATGCAGGACATTATTCATTTTAACAGCTTGGCGGACCTTGAGGACACCCAGATAGATAATAAAGACTTTGTGAAGAAATTGAACCGGCGATGCCTCCCAGGCCTTTAAATAAATGTATTGTTTATAAGATCCACACAACGTTCAGTAAGTGTTTACGTTTGGTTTAAAGCTCTTTACGGCACAGAACCGGCATGCTTAATAGAGTGAGAGCTTTTATTGGCTGAAAACTGAACTACTCTTCTACATTTAGACCCAGCCGCCTCTGGCACAGTGGACCACAGCATACTGCTGTCTTATTTGGAGCAACGCGCCAGAAAAAAAACCTTGTTTCACTGATTTTAAGTTTTATATTTGAAACTAGACCAAACATTAGAAGCTAGACCAAAACTACATGGTAAGATTTAGTTTTTGCAATGTAGTTATAAACCAAAATAAAATGTTAAATGTTGCACCACATTCAATAAAAGCCCTTGTTTAAGTCTTTGTCCTCCATTGTTCAAATACAAAGGACGTCTAACGTCAGTCATTTTCTGCTTCTTTAAATTCAGAGTATTTTATAAAAAAAAAAAAAAATTATTAACCCTCTAACCTAAGATATGACAGTATGAAAGTCAAAGCTCTCCTAAGACTTCAGCTTTAGCAGCTGCAGCAAATTGGTTTTTTGCAACTTTTGATCTAACATAATATAAGACAAACTACTTTTTTTATCTCAATTGTTTCCTTCATTCTGCAGGTTTGTTCCTAGCAGCAAAACAACTCAGCGAGCTCGAAAGCAGCCGTGTTTTTCTCCCCCTCTGCGCGTCGAACCTCTGGCAGTGAAAAATCACATGATTTGGTGCTTCTCGTTCTCATTTTAGAGGTACACTGAAGGTAACATTAGTCTTGTCAGATGTGCACTTTTCCTTCTGGATGAGTTGAATTTGCAGTGAAATGTCACCATCTTAGCAGCTTCTGTCAGCCGGAGGGACGATGTCAAGCTGTGATTAGTGCATTACAGAAAGGCCACAAGTAGTAACATCTATTCTAATTCACGCTTTGAATTTTTTTCTTTACCAGGTTATAACAGGGTTTTATTTTAACAATATTAGAGATGTGAAGTTTGTCAGAATGCGTTTATTTATTCTTTGAATTTGTTTAGTCAATAAGTTGTTTCTTCAGACATTTATTGGTGTTTTAAGTTCTGTTACGCGGATGTTGGCGGTTGGTGGTTACCATAGCAACCGGAAACCGGAAACTCCGCCCCTTTTTTTCAGACGCTGTTTCCAACTGAAAAAAGTTGCAAACAGCATCAGTTCTGTATGTGTTAGAATCACTTCTGTGTTTTCTTTACATTATATTTTAACATATATTTTCTGTCTCACTAAAGTCCTCAAAGGGCTGGTTGGAGCAGAACGGATTAATAAAACCCATTAAATGTAGCTAAAATGTTAAAATATTTGATGAGTATGTCTTAAAATGATAAAATATTGAACATCTTTTTGACATTAATGTAATTTGTCAGCATACAGTTACAAACTGTCTTAATTTGAATGACAAAAACATATTTAAAGGAGCAGTATGTCTTTCCTATGCACATTTATAGTACAATCAAGTAACTATATTGACGTTAGTTGTTAGAAAAATGCATTTTTATACACATTTTTATAACAACTGACTCAAAGATGACTTAAAAGAAATTTTACATTGTAATTTATCACCTGAAAATTGGTCATCTGTCTTTAAAAACTCCTGCTCTTTTTGAAACTTGATTTTACATAATACTGCCCCTTTAAGCACACAACTGTTTCCTTAAAGGATATTTATATGTGGCCCAAATAAAACCATATGGCGGGCTGGATTTTGCCCCCAGGCCTTACTTTTAACACATGTGGTGTAGACTAAGAGCTTATTATGACCAGATCAAATAGTTGGTTAATTTAAGATATTCTGACCACAGTCAAGTCCTTCTACATGAACACATGCTAAAATAAAGTACCTAGACTAGCCTTCCACTAGTAATGATAAACTCAACCATCTTCTATCAGAAGCCAGCCTTATTTTGAATCAGTAAAATCAAGACTGCTCCTTTTTCTGTCTTTATACCTGAAATACACAGACAGAGGTGATAATTAGCGCCCATGCGGCGTCTGAGCTGTGATCTTTTTTCCCTGCGTGGTGTTGTTTTTCCCAGATGCTGTTGTGACGCCTCCATCAAACGTTTGAAATTACCGGCCTGTAATGACACAGCTGTCTGTCAGTGCAGCTGCAGCTTCAAGTGAGCATGTTTGGGATAATTTTAGGTTTGCACTGATTGCAGTCACATGTCGCCTCTTTGCTTTTAGACAAACACGATCTGAACACAAATAGTGTGTTCATACACTCGCTCAGAGATGATACACTGATAATGAACAGTCATATATAATCAGATTTAACATTATGAGTGTGTTTTTATTTGAAAATGCATTCAATACAGAGTTCTTCCACTAGAGGGAGCTCACAAGTTCATGTTTAAACTGTAAAACAGTTAATAATTTTATGAATTTTACTTAAATAAGGATTTTCCACCAGTGAAAAAACACACAATGTTAGCAAGTATTTTTGGCCTAGTTTCTGGTCTAAGTATCTTAGTATACTTGAAACAAGACAAAACTAACTTACACTAACTGTAAAACAAGATATTGTGACTCCTTAATATTGATTTTAAATAGTTCTAGTTTCACAAAAAGATTATTTATCTTATAGCGAGGCATTTTTCCTGTGTTATAAGTGAAATAAATGGCCAGCAGAACCAATACATTCAATCAATATTAAGAATTTAAAACCAGCTCCGACATAACTTACATTTTGGTTTCAGCTCAAACTGGCGCGGTTCGTCGTGGGTCCCCACGCGATGTTCCTGCCTCAGTTGTCGTGTTTGTCCTCGCTTGTTGTGTCAAGTGTCAAACATTTCTTCTTCTTGAGTTTTATTGGGGATTGGCAAAAAAATGTTAGGTCGACATTTTTGTCATTTTCCCGAATGTACTTCAGGCCAAGCTGTTTCCGGACCTTAGTGCGCGCAATTGTGACGTCATCATTACGTATCTTGGTTCTTTTCTCAGTATTATGATTTTTTAAAATTTATTTTGTATACTTTGACAATAGTTTACTTGAGTTAGACGTAAATGTTTGTTGTTTTTTGTTTGTTTGTTTTTCTTCTTCTTGTGGACGGACCCTGTGACGCTGGAGGAAGGCGCCACAGGGTCACCTACTCCCCCAGTAGGTGGCGGTAGAACTATTTTACGTTTTTTTGCCAACCGCCAATAAAAATCAACAAGAGGAAGCGTTTCAACTCTTGTTGTTTGCCAACCGCCATAAAAAAGGAAAAGTTTCAACTCTCAGCCGGTGGCACTGAATGTGATGCACTTCTGAGCTGCTATGGAGGTAATGCTGCATTTTTGTTGTTTGTTTTTTTAACCTGCCTAAACGTCCATTGTAAATATGCTACACGGCTTCTCCAACTTTTTTTTACCTGAATATGAGCATAATAAACAGTGTAAAAGTGAACTACGGCATTAGCTGACAAGTTTTGTCCAAGTCGTATTTTGCAGTGTGAGGATTTTTTTTATTATTATCCTGAAGGATAAAATCAAAAATTAATTGCTATCTGTGGTAATTCTATAATTCCTTCAACTATTTTTCTGTGATTTGGGGAAATTTCTAGCTAACTATTATTTTATACAAGTTCCTTTTAAAAATTACTAGGGAAAACGCTGAAAATAATAGATGATTTTACCATGAAAGTCGAGCAATCTCTTGTTGGGTGTCGTTTGTTATTGAGTGACACATCTTTGCTTTTTGCCACTGATGGTCTTGTTAGCGTCTTAATTCTTTTTTTATTTTTTATTTTTTTTTATCAATCAGTTAGCAATATAAAACAAACACTGCAGATCAAAAAAGGCATACATCTACAAAATGACCATATAATAGAATGAATAATAGCAACAAAATAAAACAATAAATCAACAAAAAAAAAAAAAAATACATTAAAAAGATTTTAACATATGTGGGTTAGGATATACTTTTTCCCCTTTAATATTAGCAGTTATTTTCTGATTTGCATTATTATTTTTCCTTGTTTCAGACATTCCTTGATTAATATAGGGTCACAGATATTTTGGGTAGAAGTGGAAAAGGGAAGGATATAAATAAATAAATGCATAGATATAAAATCTTCTCAAGGCTATTACCTCCAGAGTGCATTGGATTTGTTCACAGCCAACTGCGAAGTAACTTTGATAAGAATCAGCCCATCTAACTCAGAAACCAGAGATTTGAACCAGAGAAGCGGAGGAGTTCAAGTATCTCTGTCTTGTTAAGTGATGGCAGGAGTCAGACAGAGCAGGAGATAAATAGGAAAATCAGAGTCACCAGTCATAGTGATGTTGTTGCTGCGGTCTGCTATGGTGAAAAAGCAATTAAGCTTGATATAACCCGCTCCAGCAGAACTGTTCAAGCTGACAATGTGGAGGGTCACAAAAATCTGATATTTCTTTAATTAAAAATTCAAAAGAAAACTTGTTGTGATTTTTTTGTTGTTGTTATTGTTATTTTTCCTGAAATAAACTAAACCTGCATTATTTTATAGACATTAACAAAGAAACCTGATTGTTGATTAAATGGGGTTTCTAAATCATATCGATTTGAAAATGTACAAGTTTGAACTAATTTTGTGCAATCTGACATCCATCTCTGTCGTTGTGTAAATTTGTAATAACTGTGCAGTACTTTCTGCTTTATTTTTATACCTGATGCTGCTGTCACACCTGAATTGACAATAAAGGCTGTTTTTATTCTATTATTTTCTAAAAATAATATAAAATAAAAATTGATGTACAGAAAGAAGAAAATCTAATGCTTTTAATGCAGAAAATTAACAGCCCATCAGATGGTTGACTAAACAATTTAAGAAAGTGAAAAGTGACTAAATGTGCATTTAATTTTCTTATTCTACAAAGTTTTATAAGGATCTGACACTAACAACTCAAAACAGAATTAAACTAAATATTCAAAAAATATTTTTCTCTCTTCCCGCTCTTTCTCAAAATCTTACAACCTGTAAACTTCTCAATAATCATTCCCAGTCTGCCTCCATCCCTCTATGGGCCTCCCAGCTTCTCCATCATCACCTCCTTCTCCCAATGAGCTCAGGTCCATCGCTATAGCAACTGGTTGCCACGGGTGACGAGACACAGCCAGCGCCAGCGAGCATCTTCCCCTCAGTTGTTGTCGAAAGGCAGGCGGAGAAGAGAGAAAGGCGAGGCGCCAGCAGAGCGACGGAGAGAGACACTGAAGAGCTTTCTGCCTTGTCAAAGTAAAACCCGCCAAATGTTCAGGAAGATGTAAAAACAACAAGCGGCTCAAGTCGCCCGGATTGCTCTATCTCTGCTTCAGTCTCTGGAGAAGCTGCGAGAAGATGGTAACAACTTGTTCACACAGGAAAGTGTCGCTTCAGCTCTCGGCATCATCGGAGTTCAGGTGGTGACCCCGACGCCAAAAAACACAAAAAACAACCAGCGGCACCGGCACCCGACGCCGCCGCCGCCTCTGCACGGTGAGTCCCAACTTACCTTTGTGTCACTTTGTGGGGGTTTATTTCATTTTATTTTGACGTGGTTTGTGTTGTTGGCCGGCATGTGGGTCCAGAATGTGAGGGTTCAGTGTGGTGCAGGGAGGTGAGCCGTGTCATGGACCCTTTCTGTGCCAGTCTGGTGTGATGGCGTCTCCCAGCCGGTAAACACCCAGAAAACTGTGGCCAAAAAATGCCTCTGTCACTGCAAGACGTTTAGCAAAATCACGCCCAACATTTGCATGGATATGTTTTTTTGTTCAGACGATTTTTTTATTTTTCCTCAGCAAAGGAAATAAATGCAAAAAAGGAGTTTGATTAAATAAACATTAATTATACATTTACAGGGTTGTGAAGTAGCTTAAATGATTAATTTTAATTAGTTCTCACCTTAACTATTCATCATCAAGTTATTATTAATTACTAACATAGTCAGAAAAATCACATCCATGTCACTTTTCCCTCAAATATCGCAGTTATTCATTAGTGTATAAAATTGAAGCGTTATTGAAAAAATACGTTCACCCAGACAGAGATGCTTGTCGTGAAGCAATTTGTTGGGAGAAATAAGAGATGAAATGTGTGTGAGCTCAGTAATGAGCTGCCGTGTCATCCACAGGTTGTTGCTGCTCTTTGTGAAACGTTTTCATTTTCATTTATCTGAATTTGTTCCTGTTTTGTTTGTCAGAGTAATTGAACATCCTATTTTACGATGTACGTTTCCAGCATGTGTTTATTCCTTAATTACTGTGGTAAGCTGAAAGCTAAGATCTGGTAGAGACCCGTTTACAGTTCTGGTAGAGAAACTCAGTTTCAAAAATTATAATTTTTCTGGGTGAAACGATTAGACAACTACAAAAAAAAAAAAATTAGTTGAGAAAAAATTTATTTTATTTTTCAAAAGTATTTATGTTTGTTGACTTAACGAAAGAAACACTCAGGTTTGCTGTATTTATTCTAACAAAATAGGAAATGAAGTTGGTGGTCAACATCAGGCCCCACAGTTACCGACGGCAACTGAGAAAGGGGGAGGAGCCGTCAGTTACTGGTTACTACGGTAACCACCAACTGTCAAAAGCAGTGTAACAGAACTTAATACGCCAATAAACGTCCGAAGAAACAACTTCTTGACCAAATAAAGTAAATTAAAAGAATAACTAAACACATTTTGACATGTCACACCTATAATATTGTTAAAATAAAAACCCTGTTATGAAATGATTGTACCAGAATTAGTGAGCCCAACCTATAAACTGCATTAGTTTAATACCAACATGGTACTGTACAAAGTAGTTGCCTCCTCATTTTACTTCTGTTCTTACTTTTTGTCAACCTTGAAGGTTTCAGATTTCTATCAGACAATGCTAATTTGAGTAAATGCAAATTGCACTTTTTAGATGATTATTTGATTTAGGAACAGAAAAAAATGGTCCAAACCAAATTTAGTCGTTCATACTAAAACTTTCTGTTATCAGAAGTGTAGGATCAAGTAGATAGAGCCTGTTTAACAACATTAAGTACTCAAAACATAAAGGTACATTTCTCAAAAAAACATCTTCATACTTTTTGGATGGTGCACATTATGATGCCGCATTTGAATTAAAACAGAAAATGTGGTAGTATCAGTGTGACAATATAAACTCAAACACACTTAGATTATTTAACAGGACAACACCTCTGAAATACTAACCCCCCTCCCCACCCCTGCCACACACATAAAAATAAAGGTTTTGGTGTGCTAAAAACCCCACAAATTGATACCGATTTATTTTAGCTTTTTCACAATAACACGACCAAGATCTGGCTTATTTGTGAAACATGTGGGAACTTAAGAATTAAGAAATGTATGTATTTTTACCTGCTAAATTAAACTGGTAAGTTATACACATTCAAGAAGCTTTATTAGCAATGAAAACTGTTCTTTAGTTCCCATTCAGATGCAAAATAACTTGGAGGGCAAATTTAATCAAGAGTAGCTGGAGGAAATTATGGTGAAGCTGATTGTAATTTTGCCTCTTTTGTATTTTTTGAAGTTTGCTAATTTTGTAAATGGAGCAACTCAAAAATATAGCGTTTTACCAAGTTGCAATTTCAAATGTAGACCCTTCACAGCATTGAAATTTCTTCTAGCATGTTCTTTTTAGAATGTAAAAAAGAGCTGCAATTGATTTGTGGAGTTATTGGCTTTCAGCTGCAGTGACCCTCGGCTTTAACAGAGTCTCCTTTGCCCAGAATAAAAAGTGCTTCTTCTAAAGAACTCCAACAAAGGAGATGGAGATGCCTCATCTGTTCATCCACACTTCAGTGCACAACAGTGGACCAGCTTTGTTCAATAACTGGGCTGCAGAAACCTTAAACTTGCTCCTGTGATAACTGTGCAGACTGATTCGGCTTTGGCCCATTTCTCCTCAGCTTTCTTTGAGACGTGCATCTGCTTTAATTTGATCTCAGTCAAAATTAAAATGGAATTTATTAGAAATTACAGTAGATGTTTGAAACAAGGCAGCAGAAGCTTTGTATTTTTAACAAGAGTTATCAGAAAATGTAATGTTTTGTGCATTATTGCTTTTTCTGTGTCTCTTGAAAGCTTCAGCTGCATACTGTATTAAATATTTGGGAATTTAAGACAAAAACAATATCTGAGGGATAAAATTTTGTATCAAGCTGATGGAGGGGAATAAGAATATAAGATAAATCTTTTGTAACCTAGAAAAGGAAAACGTGAGTTGATCACATTTATTTGCAGTAAAAAAAAAACCACTTCAAAGTGGAACTATTATGTATTTTCCAGGAAAATGGTGCCACTTTATAGCACAATCAAGTAATTATGTTAACTTCAGTTGTCATAAAACATCTCCATTAAATATTGACTTCGTAATTTAAGTCCTTGAAATTGGGGCTCTGTCTCTTTAAAAACTCCTGCTCTTTCTGAAACGCTGCTTTCAGGAAGTCATCACAACATCGTCCCTCTATAAACGATTTAACAACTTTTTTACTGAGAAGTATTTCCTACAATGAGCTCAGCAGATGTGCAGTTCCACCTGGTGTTTGCTAATTGCTGCTGGCTAGTCTGAAGGAGTTTGGAAACATGGAAACAGCAGCTCTGAGGAGGAGCTATGCCTCGAAGGCGGAGCTAAGTCCACCCAGGCATTTTTACAGCTGAATGGTAGCCATGGAGATAAAAGGATTTCTCAGACATGCATGAAAGAATTAAGGCAACACTCTAGGTATGTTTTTAATGAGAGAATAACATTATAACATGATGTAAAGCTTAAAAATCTAGGTTTTACGTAACACTGCCCCTTTAAGCAGAAAGTTTTTGATCTGTTTTCGTATTTAAAGTCAGTATGAATCGGCATGTTCTGATTTTTCTTTCCTCCTCCTGAATATTTCTAACTCCCGGAGCTGAGTTAGTAACAGGACCGTTTCTGGTGTTCAAGAAGCTTCTTCTGCAACATTTTAAAGCATTTTTTTCACACCATCCAAAGTGAAAGCGTTAAAAACACACAGCGTGAAAATGCAGTGACGCCAAAGCTGTTGACATCCAGAGACAGCCCCAGAGTGGACGGTCAATACGAACCCGAATCCCAGACAGAACAAATGATTGAATATGGAGAAGAAAACAGATTAGCTGTCAGATCATTTATATCCAGACTCAACCTCTCGCATCTCGCTTTATATTTAGATTTTTATGTTCATCTTTGTGTTTGTCTTGTCCATATTTGCTGACTCACAGAGGGAGAGCTAGACAGCTGGGAATCAAGAGGAAGACAGAAATAGCTTCTCAAAGCGAGAAACACAAAGGTTTAAATTTAATTAGAGAACGACAGACCACAAATATAGAGACATTAGTGATCTCAAAGATACGGAAATAGACCTTAAAGAAGGAAAAGATAAAACATACTAAGAAAAGAGACTAGCAAAGATCAGTTTTTGCTAAATTTGCACCTTACATTTTTATTGTGGTAGTCTGCGTTGGGTGTTGTCATGAAGAGTGATCTCATATTAAATTAAATTGCTGTAGTGATTATTGAACTACCTTCAATAATGTCGCCTTTTGTTAATCAATCACTTTCACAATCTAACAAAATTAATCTGAAGGATGCAGCCAACCTTTCCAATCTGTTACATAAGATGAATTACTCTATTTCTGTTAGGATTTTAATTCATTTCGATTCACAAAATATGACTCTTTAAGAAACAATTAGATAATAATCAAAGGCTTTAAGAACTGCACCTTATTAATCATCTCTCTAACATTCTCTACTGACTAGAATAGGCAAATATATGTATGAAAAGAGAAGACACTATGCTTTCTTCTCCAAAAACTGCTCCTATGGTGATGCTTTGTCACCTTAAAAATCTCTAACAATACAGAAAAAATGTCACTGGATTTAGATCACTAAAGTAACTGAGCAGGTCTGACAATGTGCTTCAAATGTATTTTAAAAGGTTGGCCAGTCCTTTCTGGACTGTTTGAATCATATTCTGTCCCGGGGGAGGAGTTAGCATGAGGGACTGATTAGCCAATCAGAGAAGGACTTGGGGCTACATAAGAAAGCCAATAAAAATTCACTCAGCATTTTTCAGACCTTAAGACATCTGCTGTACTCATTTAAGGCACGTTCACATTCAAGATTTAACACCATGAACAATCAATAATAAAAACTTCACTTACTTAAAAATAATTTTGTTCAAAGTTTCTAAATGAACAATCAAAGCGAGGTCACATCGTTGTTGCATTTTGGAGTTATTGGAGATCTGCAAGAATGAGAAGTAGTTTTGACTTTGAAACACCATGGACATCATTTCAAAGATCTATTTTGGGTTTCCACTACAAATATAGGCAAAACTTTGACAGTATCCCGCTAATGTAGAAAAAAAAACACAATTTTGCAATTGCAATAAGAAACACAATTAAAATTAAAGCTCCGCGGAGCCTCAAGCGGGCCGCGCAGCCAAGCGCCGCTCAGGCCTAGCCACCG